CCGGAGCCCATGGTTGAACACCCGGCCCAGGGCGGCCCCACCTTTGCCAGGGAGTGCTGGGTGGTCTCCAGGGCACCCCTCGCGGGGCGAAAACCACCCCAGGGGCGTCCAGAGTCAGGAAATGTCGCCTGACCACCCCGTCGATCCTGGCAGGGCCGATCCCGGGCCCAGGGTCGGTGTCTATACACGCCCCTCTTGGCACAGCCAGGGGGCGGAGGATGCGCTGGGCCAAAATCGGTGCGGTTATAGAAGGAGGAGGAGGAGGAGGAGCAGGACGAGGAGGAGAAGGGGGAGGATAAAAAACAATTAGGGGCGAGAAAATCCACCCTCCCGACACGAGAAGCAGTTCAGCAAACGCAGCCGCAGAAGGAATCAAGCGGGGCGGGCTGTTTAGCAGACGCCCAGGGCCGTTTCGTAAACGCCCAAGGCCGTTCAGCAAACGCCAACTATCAGGCCCTTGTGGTTTCTCCTCCCTGAGCTGAACAGTGCTGCACGCACGAACAATTCTGGAGAGCGGAGTCTCGGATCCGCTTGCGCGCCAGAGGGGGGCCCAGCGCAGGCCCACGGCCGCCGCCCTGACCTCCGACAAGCTGTGCTCAGGCAGCTTTCCGTCGCTCGGGTGTGAGTCCACGGGGGGCCCCTGACACGGGACGAAGAGACGCGCACCATTCGTGCACCTCTTCGGCCCGCGGTGGCAGTCTGAGGGCCACTCAGATCAATGTTCCTACGATCCTCGATCCCCCACGCCAGTTGCCCCGCTGCTGTCCGCGCGATCTGCCTCGCATGGTGCGAACGACGTCCCCCCGCACAAGGCGCGAACAGCTGAAGGGCCCCCATCTCGGGCCAGGGCCACCTCACCGGCAGCGCCCGGCTGAAGAACACGAGTCGCCGCATCGGCCGGCAGGGCAGCCCCAAAGCGCCCGCAGGCTCTCACAAGAAAAAAAACACTGCACGACCACGGGGAAACACGGTCTCCACATCGAGCCGCATCGCCGATGCGTCGGCGATGCGGCGCGATCCTCCGACCCCATCTACCCGGACCCCATCCAAGATTAGGTCGGGCATGACCTCCTGCAGGCGGATTTTGAAGGAAAAACAAAACGTAGTCGAAACATGCTCAACAGCTGTCAAAACTCGTTGAGACATCGTCGCCAGACCATTGTCCTGCTATTCTTGAGTATTCCTCGTGGGGACAGCCTGGATCGCGTCCCCCATGGCGATCTTCCCCCGGCCCTGCCGCCCAGACCCGCCAGCTCGCGTCCAGAAGGAGCTGTACAGAAAAAACTGGCCGCACCCCGCGCGCTCTCGCGCGGGCCACGGTGGCGAGCTCCCGGCGACGCACCTCGCGCGCCTGCCTTCGGCAGGGCGCGAGCGGGGTTGCGGAGCCTGCCTGCCTTCGCAGGCGCCAGCCTTCGGAGGCAGGATGCCTCCGGAGGCCTCGCGCCACGTGCCTCGCGCGTCTGCCTTGGCAGGCGCTAGCACAAAACAAAAACCAAGCAATCATGCAGCATGCCGCGCGGAATGATCGGCGGCGGGCGAGGGGGGGAGTGAGAAGGCTCCGAAGGCGGCGGGGCTTCTCAAAAGCCGCCCGCTCCTGGCCCTCTGAGGAGCTTTCTGTCGAAAATTTCTCAGACGGCCGGAGGACCTCCGAGCCTCCTGCGAAGGTCCGCCCCTTCTCACTTCCCTTCGGGCTCGCCGCCGAAATGAGGCATCCTGAGACCATCGCGTGGCAACTTTTTCGCACCGGATATTTTCGCCCAAAACCGGGCTTCGGGACCCGCGCAGATCGCGAATCAAAACATATCTCCTTCGGGACCCGCGCAGATCGATCTGGCTCGACAATTGACGCAGAATGACTGGGTCGAGGGCTCTGGTCGTGAGCTCCACGATGTTGTACTGTTTTGCGACGTCGGATCTCAGAGAATGCACGCGAGCCTGCGCTGCGGCTTCCTACTCACATCCCATCTGCTCGTTCTGGCAGCACCACACCTTCTTGTCGTTTGACCACCCAGCGCGCCAATTGGAATACCCAGCCTGGCAGTCGAAAGGCTTTGACGTCGTCTCCGGACAGCCCACCCCCTTGTTGGGGCAACACCACGCTTTCTTGTCGTCCGACCACCCGGCCTTTACGGGGCCCAGAAATATACACCACCACCACCTCCCCTTCCCCCTCACTCTCCCTGAGGAGAAGAGGGCGAAGGAGGGAGAGAGTGGAGGTGGTGGCGTTGGTGGTATATTCTTGGGGCCCGCAGCCTTCCAATTTGCGAAACCGGCTGCGCAGTCGTACGGCTCGGACGTCGTGGCGGCTGGGCCAGGCACGAGCACCTGCTCCGGAACCAAGGTCGTCGTGCAACCCATCTTCTTGTTCTCGCAACACCACACTTTTTTCGGCACGGACCAGCCCGCCTCCCAATTGGAGTAGCCCGCGGCGCAATCGTACGGCTCCGAGACTGGCTGCGGTGGGGGTGGGGGCGGAGGCGGCGCTGTGGGCGCAGGGGGCGGCGGAGGTGGCGCCACGGGCGCGGGTGGTGGCGGCGGGGGCGGCGGCGGGGGGGGCGGCGGGGGCGGCGGCGGGGGCGGCGGCGGGGTCGTGGGGCAGCCCCTGCCGGCTTGCAGGCAGCATGTCACCTTCTTCGGGATATCCCACGACAGGGGGTCGCCCTCACCGCAGTCGACCTTCTTCTTGGTGGTTGTGGGTGGCGGCGGGGGTGGCGGCGGTGGCGGCGGGGGCGGCGGCGGCGGCGGTGGCGGCGGCGGTGGGGGCGGAAAGGTCCTCTTGGTCGTTGTCTTGGACGTGGTCGTCGTTGGGACCACGTCGGGCGGAGGTGTCGTGAACACTGGAGGCAGAGTGACCGCCGATGTGGTCGTCGTCGTCGTGCTAGTAGAACCCATCAGCGCCCAGACGAGCAGAGGAAGCGCCAAGAGGGACAACAACAATGGGACGACGATGCAGACGCAGCAATTGGGCCCTCCCGCCGGCAGCCTGATTGGGGTAAACAGGTCCCGATACCTCTTCTCCCCAGACCTCTCCTGAATTGCGTTCTGAATAGAAACCCACATGTGGTTTAACGTGTTCCGTCTTCTCTCTGTCAAACCTCCCTCCTTCCACTTTTCGGGGGACGGGTTTTCCCCTCCCCTTACCCCCCTCCCCTGGGCCTGGGAGAGGAGCCCCGAGCGGTCAGAGCGTCCAAACTGGCTTCAGATGGCCCCACGAGAGCCTCAGAAAGCCCAGAATGGCTTCCGAGATGACTCAAGATGGCTACAGATGGGTCAAGGTAGCCTCCGACACACATCAAAGACGTCTCAAGACAGCCCCAAGACGGTTCCAAGTGCCATTCGGGCGTTCCAAAGCATCCCCCAAGAGGCCAAAATCCTTCAGGCACCTACGGAAAACTAATGGTGGTTGCCTTCTAGCCACCTCGCTTCCGATGAGTTGTTGGAGCGTCAAGATGGCTCCACGATGGCACAACAGAGCCCCAAGAGGGGCCCATGAGTGCCCAAAGAGCGCCCAAGAGCGCTCAAGAGGGCCCAAAGACGCCCTTTTGGAACCTCCGATGAGGGACCTCAATTGAGGACCCCCCCGCATCTTTGATGCGTTGGGCCCCAGGTCGCCCCAAGAGGCCTCCAAAACTCAAATTTCGCAGGGTGTTGCAGGGTTTCCCCCCTCCCTGCAAAGACCCAGGAAAGAGGGGCCGCTCGTTTGCTAGTCATGTAGCATGCTCGTGCCTCCTTCTTCCTGTTCGCCGCCTTCCTCCTCCTCCTCCTCCTTACCCATTCCATTAAACAATCGCTCCTCATCCTCCCTTCGTCCTCCCCACACCTCTTCCCCTCAATCAAATATAAATCCTACTACCTACTCCTCTCTTGCCTCCTCTAACCTCCTAGTTTCGGCTCTGAGAGCTTGGGTGCGACAGCCAGCCTGTGCGCGAGCTCTCCTCGGCTGGGACCAATCGCGCACTTACGGAGGGAGGCGTGGCACAGGCGGGGCCGACAGGGGCGAGAGGGCGGTGAGGGCGCGCTGCCGCCAAGCGCTCCAGCGCGCGTCCTTTGCCGGCGCGCGCGCAAGTAAGGGGGGCTGCCCGCGCCGCCGCTGCTGACAGGCGCGCTACGTGCGAGGGACCAACCAGGCGCCGCCGCCTGCTGTGACGAATCACCACGGTGTACTCGGCTGAAGCATGGAGGTCCGGGCGCTGGGCGTCGAGTGGGGTTGGCGGTGGCGCAGGGGCGGCAGCCTGGGGGTGCAGCGCGCGACTAGAGTGGGCTACTACAACTTCGGGGAGCGGGACACGTGCCGTGTGCCGGGGTGCAAAGGCAAGCGACCCCCCACGAGGCGGCCCGCGGAGCTGGGGGACTTCGTGGTGCGGCCGTGCCCACGCGCTCCTCGTGGACCTGGGGCAGGCGAGGGTGGGCAGCGCGCGGGCGGTGGTGGAGCGCCCAAGCGAGCCCCCTGGTGGCCTGACGTCCGTGCTGGTGCTGGTGGGGGTGGCACCGCAGCAGCTGGTGGTGGTGCAGGTGCAGGAGGTGAGGGCACTGGCATCAACGAGGAGCTGTGGCACAAGCTGGAGCAGTTGCCTGAAGACGCCTTCAAGGTCAGCGCCCAGCTGCTGGACGCCAAGACCAAGCGCGGGATTCTCCAAGCCAGGAGGTTGGCACAGGAGGGGCTGGGCGACCTCTCCAAGGTCAAGGAGGTCAAGGCGGCGCAGCTGCGGGCCGACGAGAAGTCCGTGCAGGTCACGAAGGCGGAGGGCCAGCTGGAGCAGGCCAAGGCGCGGGCTCATCGCGCTGTCGCTGAGATGGCGGAGCTGGGGGAAAAGCTGGTGCAGCTGCGGCGCGAACTGGAGGAGGCCACGGTGCAGGCCAAGGCGGCCGTGGCAGCCCAAGCCGCGAAGCAGTCCGAGGCGGAGACGGCGAAGCCGAAGGCGCCAGCTGCGGCGGCCCCCACGGCCGTGTCGGCTGGGCTGCGGGCAGCGATTGCCGCGGAGCTCGCCAGCCACGCGGCAGAGGCGCCTGAGCTGGTGGTCAAGCTTGGCGGGGCGCTGGGCGAGATTCTGGACAGCCACGCCAGCCAGGCGGCACCTGAGGCGGCTGCTGCTGGGCTTCCGCGGCAGCAGGAGGACGTGGGTGCTGGTGGTGCGGCTCATGCCCCTGCAGCTGCGGCCGCTAGCGTGGCGCCCGCTCCTGCAGCCGCGGCGGGCGAGCCAGCGGCAGGAGGAGCCAATGGGGCGACTGGGGTGGACCAGGCCTGGCGCGAGCTCGCCATGGAGATGGGGGACCCCGAGAAGCGGAAGTTCGCCGAGGTGCTCAGGGAGGAGCAGGCGGGGTCGGAGGCCAAGCGGCTCCGCACAGCGGCTGAGGCTGGTGCGCAAGACTCCTAGCAGGCAGGGTGCCTGCTGGCGGTTCTGCACGGTCAACGTGAACGCGTTCTGCACCCTGGATGCGTGCCTGGCGGTGCAGGAGGTAAAAGGAGTTGCCCCCCCCCCCCCCCCGTAACGCGGATCTTCCCTTCTCCCTTTTTCGTTCTTCGTTCTCTCTTGCTCTTTTCTCATCTTTTTTTTCTTCCTCCTTTTTCCGTTTCGTTCCATCTCCCCTACTTCTTACTTTCCCTTTCCTGTCCTGCGAATTTTCTCTCCCTTTCGTTTTTCTTTTTCGTTTTGCTCGTCAGAGACCAGGCTGCTGGAGGGAAGGACCAGCGATGTGGAGGCTCAGCTTCGAGCCCAGGGATGGCGGGCGCGCGGCACGCCAGCCGTCCCGTCGTCGGCAGGAGGGCTCAGCTCTGGAGGACTGATCTCCATGGTTCGGACCGCCTATGGGATGGCGGAGGTGGACGACCCGATGGGTGCCGTGGTCGTCCCAGGCAGAGTTCACGTCTGCTGGGTCGCAGGGGTGAGGAGAGGCGGTGTGCTTCTCGGCAACGTCTACCTCGAGGCGGGGGTCGGCCTGAACGCGAGTAACGTGCAGGCGCTCACGCTGCTGGCGAGGAGGCTCAAGCAGTACCAGAAGGAGTACCTGGTTGGTGGTGATTTTAACCTCACGGAGGAGGAGCTGAGGGACGGAGGTATGCTCGCCATGTTTGATGCGGTGGTGGTTCGTCCTTCGACTCCTACGTGCGCATCGTCGGGGAGGGTCATCGACTTCTTCCTGGTGTCCAAGGGCTTGAGGGCGTGCGAGGTCAGCGTGGTGCCTGCGTCGCCCGTCTACCCGCACTCCCCTGTCCTTGTCAAGGTCGGCGCGACGGGGCCCCGTGCGCCCTTCCGCGTGGCGCAGGCGCCGAAGCCCTTCCCTGTCCTGAGGCCCTCGGGGTGCTGCGAGTACGACCACGTGGGCAGATGGAAGCGGAGTCGGCAGGAGATGAGGAGGCTCCTCAGGCCGATGGTGGACTTCGTGGACGAGGAGGTTGAGGCAGGCGCGGGCTGCAGCCTGGGGGGCCCAGTCCCGTTGGGAGCGGGCCCCCAAGGCACGTGCACTGGGTCTGCCAGTTGGCCGCAGCCTGGGATAAATTGCGGCAGCCATCCTGGAGTGGAAGAGGTGGACGCGCGGGATGCGCAGTCCCACCCGGAGCCCCAGCCACAGGTCCGACCGGCGGGGCTTGCTGGAGGGAGCGCGGCAGGCTGCTGCGAGGAGGCTGGTGCTGGTGAGGTGGCTGCTGGTGCTGATGCCGCCTTGGGGCTGGGCCGCCTCGCAGGCTGCCGCAGTGTGCTCGCGCCGCCCCCTGCGCTGGCCACCGCGGCTTCGGCGGTCAGCCTTGGCCAGCTTTGCGGGCAGCTGGACGAGCAGTGGCAGGAGGCAGTGCGAGGATGCGGCTTGCTGCGGGAGCCTGAGGAAGCTGGGCCTCGTGGGGAGGCGAGGAGCACGCCTCGTCGGCGAGAGCCTGGGCCCAAGCAGCCACGAGAGGCACAGGCCCAAGAAAAAACAACCCCGCGAGGGCTCTCGAGGGTTAAAACTGAGGGGCCACGCCTGGGGAGCACGCCTGAGGAGCACGGGAGCGGGAGGCGAGGAGCACGCCTGAGGACCAGACCAGAGGCGCGGCGGAGCCCGTGGAGAGGGCTGGAGGAGCCAGCCGACCGCCTCCTTGGCGGGAAGTGCGTGCCAGCAGGAGGAGGATGCGACGAGGAGAAGGTCAAGGAGGGCCTCAGCATGGCCCTGGGCGCCTTCCTCCAGTGCGCGGAGGAGGAGTGGATCGACGTGTACCAGCTGGGGGAGGAGCGCGACAGGTATTCTGGTAGAGCTGAAGGCTTCTCCACCAAGGTCGTCGTCAAGAGCGGGGTGCAGCAGGCGAGGTCGCCGAGGCTTACCCCTGAGGCGGCGTGGGTGGCCAGGGTGGCCAACGCGCTGCGCGCCGCCTCCAAGGTGGGCGCGCCACGCGCCAGGCAGGAGGCGCTCGGGTACTTGCCTGCGCTCGCGGCTCGCGTGCCGCAGCGGGTTCGGACGCTGCAGGAGGAGGATGAGGTTGAGGAGGCTGAGGGCAGTGTGGCCAGCTGCGGTGCAGTGGCAGGCAGATGGCACGGCTTCCTGCTGTACGGCGCGGTGGCGCTGTGGGACCCGTTCGCGCTGGCACACATGGCTGACCTCGCCAAGCGGCATGCCAGCGAGCTAGCCCACCGAGATCTTGCCGAGCGAGGCAAGCGCTTTGACGAGTGGGTGGGTAAGCAGCTCAAGGGAGGAGCAGCAGGGCTGCACGCCGTCACTCGGGTGCCAGTAGGATGGCAGAGCAGCACTTGCAGTGGCAGCTCGGGCCCCGCAGGCCTCGGCAAGGAGATCGAACTCCTCGAGGCCGAGTGGGGCAAGCACTGGAGGATCGAGTGCGACCACGCCGAGCTGCAGTGGCCCTCAGATCTGGGCGAACGGCCTCCGCGGCCGTCCGTGGAGGACCTGCGCCGCTGCCTCCGCTCCTTCAAGAAGGACACGGCCTCGGGCTTCGAGGCCATCAAGCCCAGGCAGCTCCTCGAGCTCAGCAGCGAGGGGATAGAGGCTCTGATCGACCTGCTGATGGCCGTGGAGCAGATGGCGGAGTGGCCGCAGCTGCACACCAAGATCGTGTTCTTGGCTAAGCGGCTCGGGGGCGTTCGCCCTGTGGCCATCATCCACGTGGTGGCCA